TGCTACAACTCAATTTCAGAACACTCCCATCACCCCAAGTAGCTCCCTCATTCTCATTAGCTGTCCTTCCCTACCTCCATTTAATCTACTTTCTGTTTCTGTCCATTGGGACACTTTAACGACTGCACGTTCAAAATAAATGACACAGTTCGTAACATTTCTTACCTTTGATGAAAACATTATAAACCCACCAACGGTAAATGGGGGAACTAATACCATGAAGGGAATCAGAATCCCTAAGCTGAAGTCCTGCATTATAGTGATGTCAAACATGATGATCGTGATCTACAAGACAAATTCAGACAGACTGCACATCAGACAAAGCCAGACCACTGATATCTGGGAAAACAGACCTAAGTGTTCTCATCAAGTGTATAAGGATTTTCACAAACACAAATTCACCCAGACAGCCATCACAATTTCCGCTTTCAAAGGGAGGATGGACAAGGGGGAGGGAAACTTTTGTTAACGAGAATATATACGCTCCATAGCTCACCAACAGAAAAGTGTAAACAGGAAAAATTCTAGGGATCAGGGAAAACGAAAATGATCAAATAGATTTCCTGGCAGTACATTACTAAATGCAATCCAAAACAATAAGCTAAAGAGAGGAAATATCTTTGTAGAGCTAGGGTAATAATACTGTTGCTAACGTGTAAAAAATATGGACCCAGTGAAAAGGTACGTGGACAGTTATAGAAAAAGAATCCATGTTGCCTCTCACACAGCCTCTCAAACTACTCTACAGCTTTCCCATCATCCTCCCTGCTCCATATTTTCCTCTTTCTAAACAGATGCTTTTTCTGAGATTGTGCACTTTGATTACAATGGGATCTTTTTCTACCAGAATACTTGGAAATGAGGGAGTAAAGATAATTTTTAAAACATTTTTCTGAGTGAAGGATTAATTTTGTAGTCAGCAAGTATGTATTAAGCACTTTGTTGAACCTTTGCTGGATCATTAATACATTAATTGGAAAAAAAGTAGTAAGAATTATAATTGCTAAGTTCATTGAATATTGCAAATGCCAGGCATTAAGAACGTGTTGTTCTTGTTGTTGTTGTTATCAGATGCTGTCAAGTTGGTTCCTGCTCATAGAGACCCTGTAAACAACAGAATGAAACACTCCTAGTCTCGCACCATCCTCATACTCGTTGCTGCGTCTGGGCCCATTGTTGCAGCCACTGGGTCAGTCCACCTCGTTGAAGGGCTCACTCGTTTTCACTGACCCTCTATTTTACCAAGCATGATGTCCTTCTCCAGGGACTGGTCCCTCCTGATAACATGTCCAGAAGACACAGACAAAGACTCTCCATCCTCACTTCTAACGAACATTCTGGCTGTCCTTCCAGGACACACTTGTTCATTCTTCCGGCAGTCCGTGATATGTTTTAATGCTCTCAACAACTCTACGATGTAGGTACTACTATTTACCCTCCCTTTGCATGTGAGAAATCTAGGGGTCAGAGAAGTTAAATCACATCATACAACCTCACAGAACTGGAATTCAGAACTCTGCGTATAAGTTTTTATGTCAGAAAAGTAGATTTTGAGGGCCATTTCATGGGATTACATTTCATCAGTGCTAAAACGAAGTAATTGCGAGTAGAGCAAAATAACTTAAAACCACATATTCAGTAAACACATAATAAGCATCATAGAAGGCCAATCTGAAGGACTCTTCTCCTTTGCTGGTGCCACAATCTCTCTGCAAAGGCATATTTTTCTTCATCTGTTTCCCAAGATGTTATTCTTTTCTATTTTTCCTCCTATCTTCTCATTTCTAATAACTATAAGTCCTTAAGTCTACTTAGCTGACTCTTCCGATTCTACCAGGACTCCAAGCTTCGACCTTTATGCCTCTTTCTCCCCCTTCCCTCTTCTTCATCCACTGGAATAAGAGAGGATTCCAAACTGTATCAAAGAAAATACTCTGGGCCTCCCTGTGGTCAGGATGGGCTACTATAGCTCCACCACTCAACATGAGAAGCTAGAAAGGCAGTTTCTGGTCAGACAGGTGCCTAGGATACCCAGGAGGTACCACATGGACCTTTGGGTTTACGGGAGTCCATCAGCCTCTAAAAGACATTAGCTCCTGACTATGGCTTCACTCAATGATGAAGAGACATTGCCTAGACGGCCCTTCCAAATGCATCACAGATCACAAAAGGACAGCTGAGCTGACCATCAACATACACTGTACTTTCACATCTGTTTCTGTGAGGAATTAAAAAGGACTTCAGTCCAAAGACAGCAGATATAAATGTATATTAGCTACATGATGAAAATATCAATTATCACCACATATATATCCCAATATATATTTTGGATGAAATTATAACTTATCTGTGTTAGGCATCGTGAAAGGTTATTACAAACTGCATGAGGCCTTTGTGAAGATGTAGAATTTGGAAACATTTTAGTGCCCAAATTCCAGGGTTTTTTTTTTTTTAAATGAGCATGAGCTTTGAATCCATATTGTCAATCATGCTGCTATCACATACTTTTGACATGTGGAATAAGAATGTAAGGTCTGATACCTCGACTTTGCTCCTGAGTCTAATATAAGTGCTGTGTGACCTTGAGCCAGTTACTGAAAGTACTTACTATGGGCTGCCAGAAGAACTAACAGATCTGTCCTGAAGGAAGTGTAGCCAGAATGCTTGCTGGAAGCAAAAATTGCCAGACTTTGTCTCACCGACTTTGGTCATGTTGTCAAAAGGGACCACTCCCTAGAGAAGGATATCATGCTTGGTAAAGTGGAAGGTCAATGAAAAAGCAGGAGGTCCTCAATGAGACGACTGACACAGTGGGTGCAACGATGGGCTGAGGTAAAGCAAGGATTGTGAGGCTGGCCCAGGACCGGACGATGTTTTGTTCTGTTGTACACAGGGTCACTGGGAGTCAGAGCCAACCTGACAGCACATGCCAACAACAACAAGAGGTGAACTGCATGATAGAATATTGAGTTTGTTTCAACTCTGAGATTCCAGTGTTCTATACATATGTGCCTTCTGTTCAATAATGTAAAAATAAAATAGAAAAATACAAGGAAGCAAAAGGGAAAATGATCAGAAATACAATGCTAGGAGTCTCCGGGTGGCACAAATGTTTAGGCACTCAGCTCCTAACTGAAAGGTTGGTTATTTGTATCCACCTTGAGGGGCCTCTGAAGAAAGACCTCGTGATCTTCCGAAAGTTCGCAGCAACAGAACCCCCCCCCCCCATGGAGTGCATCTATGCTCTGAAATGCATGGGCTCCTCATGAGATGGAATCGACTCTCTAACAACCATTTTTTCTTTTTTAATGGAGTAATTTTACAGTCCTATTGCTATCCCTGGGAGCTCTTGTGGCATTGTGCCTAAGGCATTTGATTGCTAACCAGAAGGATGCCGGTTCAAACCCACCAGCCACTCCTGAGAAGGAAGATTGGGCAATCTACTTCTGAAGTGATACTGCTTCAGAAACCCAAGGAGGTGTCGCTATGAGTCGGATCTGACTCGACAGCAGTGAGTTTGGTTTTTGGTTTTTTGCTCTCCCCATTGCTTCAGGCAAAAGTGACTCTAACTGAAAGTTATATGGTAAGTTAGATAAGAATGCTACCTCTATATTTGCACATATGAATATACACTTACCATATAAAAACAAAATGACCAAAGGCTATTATTTTTTCTCCTCTTGTGGAAGATAAATGATATCACATATGACAAGATGACAAGAGCAGCTGCGGAACCAAGTGTAGTCACTATCTGAAGGGAATGCAAATAAGATCCGAGTCAAAAGTGGAAATATTCACTGAGGGAAAATTTAAGTATGCATATTTCAAAATGCTTTATTGCACTTTACACTGTGCATGTCTTCTATGGCTATGACAAAATAAAAATAAAATGTCTTGATAATATAAAATATCAGTGCTAAAATTTGTCATTATCTTATAAAATATGGTCTATGTGACCTGCTACTTACCAAAGCAAATACAATTCGACTTGTGATGAAAATGTACACTCTCTTTATTAGGTAGAAAAATAAATACATTGACAAGAAAATAAAAATGTAGAGGCTAGTATCCACCAGCGCCTGCCCGCACCAGTAAGCAGATGGTGGGAGGCCTGAAGTCCACAGCCGGGAGTGAGCTTCGTTCTGAAGAAAAAGCACAGGATACGCACAGATTCCACTGAAATCCCCAACCATAATCAACGCCTTGTAAGATTCATTTAAACAAATCGAACCTAATTTTGTTTACATGATGATGCCATTTAGAAAGACCTCTGGTGGTGGAGAAGTTAAAGCACTCGGCTGCTAACCAAAACGTTAGTGGTTCAAACCCACCAGTCACCCCATGGGAGAAAGATGAAACAGTTTGCTTCTATAAAGATTTACAGTCTTGGAAACCCAATGGGTGGCTGTCACTGTGAGTCAAAATCACTTGATAGCAGTGAGTTTGGTTTTTGAGTTTATAACATTTGGAAACCTGAGATATTCCCAAATGGTTGCCATATAAAAAATTGCGTATTTTTTGTTTGATAGATTTAATTTGTAACACCACTTAATTCATGAATAATGACTAGAAAAGTAGACCGCACACTGATTAAGACATTGCTGTTACTGTTAGTTGAATCAAGTTGATTCAAACTCATGGTGATGCCATGTGTGCAGACTGGAACCCTCCACAGTCATTTCAAGGTAGTGACCTTTTGGAAGCCAGTCGCCATTTTTCTAACCCAAGGATATCCTGAGCAAGGCATTAAGCTCCTTTAAAAAAAAAAAAAAAAAGTTATCTTGTGACTCAACGGGCATAATAAATTCTCCTTTGGGGAGGTACTGGCTCCAGGTGGTCAGGGCTGACTTATCTGAACATGCTTTGTTTTGTCTGGATAATGGGAATGACCAAATACAAACACAACATAACGGCACAACTTCTGCCTAGGAAGGGGGACTCAAGTGTTAAATTTGGTCTTCACATTCAACATCAATGATTTCCTCTTTGCAGTTAGAAAATAATGTCAAAAGCATTATAATATTTCTATTTGAAGGTTTTTATTCATTTGAGTCTGCAAAATTAGTGCACTTCTGTGATTTTGAAGTAAACACTATTTTGTGCTTTTAGAAGTTTCAGATTTATTGGAAATAACGCTTAAGTACATTATGTAAGTTAATCATATGTTTAAATACTTAGCTTACAATAAAATATTTGAATATATAACATTCAAAATACAATTACTGAAGTTCCAGAATTGTCTTTCATTCCATTTTTTCTTACTTTGTAATCACCAACACTGCTCATGGCGATGTAAGGAGAAATACTACACACCATCAAAAATAAGAAAAGTGAGCCTTCCGGCAGGTCAGTCCAAACTGGTTCATACCTCTGCAAACGGAAAAGGAATTTTAAATGAGTGAGCATTTATTGTTGTTGTTGTTGTTGTTATGTGCCGTCGAGTCAGACCTGACTCATAGCGACCCCTCCTTGGGTTTCCGAGGCAGTATCACTACGGAAGTAGGATTGCCCAACCTTCCTTCCGAGGAGTGGCTAGTGGGTTTGAACCGCCAGCCGTCTGGTTAGCAGTCAAGTGCCTTAGCCACTATGCTACCAGAGCATTTATTAAAACTCAGTAAACACCAATAATCATAAAGAATGTACTTTTTTTTGAAATATTCAAAAACTAAATCATGCAACCTGCTTGTCAATGTCCAGACTTTGAGGCTGGAGGGGAAGTAATTTCTGATAATATTACACGAGGCTTCAACTCCTGGAGCAACTTCCTGGACCAGGAGCCGTCACAAAGAAGTTATTAATTGTCAGCCTAGACTTGCAGACAATTCAGGCCTGAATAGCAAGCCTTTCCCTGCAGACCTGGTGATGGCCGTGTGGAGATTTGGCACCTGGGTGGGTACGTACACAGAAATCAGAAGGAAATTCAAATGCTGGTATGGTATGGATTGAATTGTGTCCCCAAATAGGTGTTGGAATCCTAACCCCTATACCTATCATGTCATTCTGTTTGGAAATAGAGTTTATTCATTATGCTAATGAGGCCATATCAGTGTAGGGGGAGGATTAGACACAGAGACCGGCACTGGGGAAGACAGACGCCCTGTGAGGATCGCCAAGAATCAAGGGAATCCTCAGGCTACCGACAAGGAAGGAATCGACAAGGCAAGAACGCGGAGTTAGGTTTAGCCTCCAGAACGTAAGGAGATAAATTCCTGTGAAAGCCGCCCACTGGGCATTTCTGTTACAGCAGCAGTAGGAGACTGAGACAGAAGCCAAGGACCCTCCTCAAGAACTTTAAATCCCTGACTCAGGGCCTGCCGGAGGTGGTCTATGCCCAGGGAGTGCCTCCTGCATGTAATCACAGGAGAGCAGTGTCATAGCTGATCACAAAGTAGTGCTTCCATTCTTAAACTTTAGTTAAGGCTGTGACCATGAATCCAGTTCTTCACCCCGTGAGAAAGTGCATTCACAACATTCCAGGGATGACTGAGGAGGAAGAGTGTGTGACTGCGGGGTGCCTACAAGAGTAGCCCCGGGTCCATCCCGATCCTGAGCAGACAGGAAATGGCATGAAGATCCTAAAGCACCAAGAGAAGTTGGCAGCTCTGTCCTGCTGCCTGCTGGTCCTGCTTCTTGCCTTACACTGGTGAGTTCCCTTCGACACTATTCCCTTGAGCTTTTCTGTCACCCTTGGGCTGGAGGGACAAAGGAAGGAGGTGATGTGGCTGGATCCTAGGGTGCAGGCACCTTTTGCTCTCCTGTTTCCCACCAATATGTCCTTTGTCTAAACCCACCTGTAACCAGCTGACAACAACAACAACAAAAACCCCAAAACTCATTGCTTCCATTTGGACTCATAGTAACCCTATAAAACAGAGTAGAACTGCCCTCATAGGGTTCCTAAGGCTATAAATCTTTACAGAAGCAGACTGCCCCATCTTTCTCTCACGGAGCAGCTGGTGGGTTCAAACTGCTGATGTTTTTCGTTAGCAGCTGAATGCTTTAACCACTACACTACCCTGTACCAAGTCACACAACACGTGTGGTGGCTTTGAACCGCTGACTTTTCCATTTGACCCTGGTGCTTAACAACTGTGCCACAGAATCCTGAAAATGCAGCGGCATCAGTCAGACCTCCTGCTCTGTAGAGCAACCGTGGCAGGTGAAGGGAGGAATCAGAAACATGCTGGCCCAGAGCTGGCACCTTGTCCTTCACGCTTAGTCAACCCCCTATGCATTTAGTCAGTGGAAAGTCCACCGGCAAGTTATATTAGATTTACGAAATTCTAAAGCTGACTTATAAATACTGCTGATTTCCAATTCAGGGCTTGCTCTCTCTCTCTCCCCCACACACACATTCTTCTTCCTCCAATAAATGTGTATACCTTTACAGAAGATTCCATAGGAGAACATGACATCATATTGGAAAGTATTACCCCATGAGAATCCTCTAATACTAATTCACCAGGAAAAAAAATAAAAAAGAATAAATATATATATATATATATATATAGTGTTAGGTATATTTTGTTTAAAATGTCAGGACAAAATAGTAAGTTTTAGGATTAACAATGAATTGTTGTTGTTGTTGTTATGTGCCGTCGAGTCAGTCCCAACTCATAGCGACCCCTCCTTGGGTTTCCGAGGCAGTATCACTACGGAAGTAGGATTGCCCAACCTTCCTTCCGAGGAGTGGCTGGTGGGTTTGAACCGCCAGCCTACTGGTTAGCAGTCAAGTGCCTTAAGCACTATGCTACCAGAGCTCCTAACAATGAATTACTAATATTTAAAAGGTAGAGAGGGAAATACAGTTGACTTGTCAAATTCCTGATTGTTCCAAATGAGTAAATGCAATACTTACATTAAATATTGCATCTCTCTCAGTGCGAATGTATTTTGTAAAGTTCAACATTCCAAGCAGCCCATTGCTGACAATACCCATAAGCGTCGGGAAGCAGTGAAGTCTCTTGACATTGCACACGACTGAAAATCTATAATCCTTCAAAGAAACCAAAGAAAAGCACAAGACAAATAATATTAATTCTAAATCCTTCAAGAACAAAGACAAGCTTTCAATCTAGAAGATCCTGACAGTTCTCAAGTTCTCAAGTGTCCGTGTCTTCAGGTTAACTGGCCTTTTTGAGCCCTTGCTTTCTCACCTGTGAAAGGAGATAGGATAAGGAAAGAGGATAATACATGGGCTGTGAGAGGACTTAAATGAGATCGTGTCTGCCAGGCCCTAGCACAGTGTCTGTATCCACTCAATAGGAGTTTTTAGTAAAATTATTAGGGAGCTCTGGTAGCATAGTGCCTAAGGCATTTGACTGCTAGCCAGAAGGCTGGCGGTTCAAACCCACCAGCCACTCCTCAGAAGGAAGGTTGGGCAAACTGCTTCCGTAGTGATACCGCCTCAGAAACCCAAGGAGGGGTTGCTATGAGTCGGGTCCGACTCGACGGCACGTAACAGCAACAACAACTAATTTTAGATCATTTCCCCCATTTTGCTGATGAGGAAATCTCACCTCACAGGCTGACAGTGACATAGGCATGAGACACTATCAGTTAGTTTAAGATGACCAAGTAAAAGGATGCTGACCTTCTAAAACGCAGATGAGGTTCATGAAATACTCCTCATTTCTCCACCTATGGAGCATTGCACACTTTCTAAGACAATGTTTATACACTTTGTGTTTATGAAAATGTTCATGCATTCAACCATATTTTCAATATGGCTCCAATATTACCAGTGGTTCATGTAGTAAATGTGTTAGACAAGTAACAAGGAAAGCACCCAGTTGATGCCCAGAGCTTATGTCTTTTATTATGTATTTAGTGTAGTTTGAACTTAATTCAACGATAGATCTCCAATGGCTTTCACTTTTGTTTTTTCTTTTTATTTCCCTTGAATTGAGGAATAGAGAGGAAGATTTATTCAATATGGCCCCTTCCTTTTTTTCACTGGAGGTCTGCTATGGTAAGGTGCGTTTTCAATAGTCTTGATTCTTGGCAATTCTATTACTTGTACTGCTTCACCCAACTTCAAATATGCTAAGAGAGTAGACTGAGAACACTTTTCTCTCTGGGATTTCATGTGGCCATTCTTATGTTATTTAATGTATCATCTCAATATATAAAAACATCGAAGAGTTAAGTATTTAATGGGATTTTTAAAATTCAGAATTATATCTCATTAATACTATAAATTCTAGTACTTGTTATCATTTGATGAATGCAATTAAACTTAGCTACTGTCAAATGTAGTGCCTAAGGCACTTGACTGCTAACCAGAAGGCCGGCAGTTCATACCCACCAACCACTCCTCGGAAGGAAGGTTGGGCAGTCTACTTCCTTAATGATACTGCCTGAGAAACCCAAGGAGGAGTCTCTATGAGTCAGGTCCAACTCGACAGCACGTAACAACATACAACTGTCAAAAGTAAAAATTATCTAATCCAAAACAAACTTAATATATAAAGTGTTTTACAATAAAATTATTTCTATTTCTCAGTTGATTCAATAATGAGCCAAATTGTTTTACTGAGTCAAGTAACTGTATCTTGAATGAGTTAACTTTCTGTAGTTTTTAAAGCAGTTACACTGTAATACTTTCTTGTTTTTGTTGTTATTTTCATAAAAGTAAAAACAAGAGACAAACATACCTTTTGTTTCCCAGAAACTAGGATAGCTCCATTGTATGACAGGTCATCAGTGCCGTTTCTATTGTCAAAGTCATCTACTTCCAAAACTATATTTTGATGTTTCAGTGAGTGTATAAAATCTTCAATATTTGATTCTAGTACGATGTCGAAAACAGAAGGCCATAAAAAAGCAAGAGAGTATGGGTCAAATATTTTAAATAACTCCCATGGAAAAGTTCAAAGCCGCTATTCATAGCATGTTACATATATATCCCTTCAGGCAAAATAATAGTAATACTGTCCCATGACACAGATATACTCCCAAATATCTCAAAATGAAGTGGTGCAGCTGAGATAGAAGTCTCTTTCAGTCACACATGAAGCCTTAGGGTAGCCAGGTAGATGGGCAGCTCTGTTCTGCAATGTTGTATGGTGACCCGGGCTCCTATCTTCTCGTCTCACCATCCCCATTATCCCCCAAGTGAGAGCAAACTTTACACTCTGTTCCTTAGAACTTGTTTTTATAAAGCTCAAATGCACATTTTCTTCACTTATCATTTGCTTTTCTCCCAAGTATGTGCTTTTTGACAATAAAAATTATTAATTTCTGGATTTAAATTCTACATGGGGTTCACCTGTGTTATTGATGATCAATAAGCTGGTATGGGGCTCCTTAGGGAGTTGTCCAGGAGAGAGGAAATACATTTCAGGTTTAAATTCCAAATTGCTGTTCAGACTCAATAAGGCACGCAGTAGATTTTCCATAATCAAAGGCCACATTGCAATGCCAAGCACCAATAGTCTAACAATAAAGAAACATAACCATCTGAATCTATAGCAGTTTAATGCATTCAGTCACCCCACAAATACTTGTTGAGTGTTGGTTTTACTCTACAACAACCATGTTTCTAGGCACTAAATGGTGAAAGCAGGGCATTGGGATGCTACAGTACCAAAAGGCATCACCATAAAAACGAAACATGCGTGAGCACAAGCCTGTTCAAGTGCCAACATACAGGTCTTCTCACCATCAGCAACATGTGGGCTTGGAACCAGTTCATTCCAGTTTAACCCCCTGCTGAGAATTTGCATCTGAATCCCAGTATACTTAAGAATCACCTAGGGATCTTGTTACAATGTGTACTTTGATTCAGTACATCAATTCTGATTCAGTATATCTGAGGTAGAATTGCAAATTCTCAGCAGGAGATGGAACTAGAATGAACCGGTTCAAAGGCCTAAGTAAAGTCAAATGCTGCCCTTACCTCCTGGCAGGAACGTTGAGCATCTGACTCTACTTTTGAATGCTCTTCTACCTTGAACCTCTGTCAAACTCATTGTCTCTCAAAATCAAAGTACTCTGGTACTCACAGGATCAAGAGTTCTTTCTTTCCGTGTTTTAGTTTCAAGAAACGGAGCCGTGCTATGGCACAGACCTGCAGCCTCCAGAGAGCCATGCCACTCAGAGCCTTCTGCATCTCAGGGAGAGAAGAGGGAGCCAGCTCCAGTTCG